GGCCCAGGGAATTAGGGGTAGGCTGTGAATCATTATGTCACACCCATGTTTTTGTGCCAAAACTTATACAAATTTTAAATTCGGATCCGAGCAAGCGGAACAAGTGGACTTCATATTATAGAAGTAGACATCTACTTGTGGCAAGTCTATCTGGAGGCATTAATGCAGGATGTAAGTGTTAACTTTGAATGGGGTTACCCTGGAACTGCAAACACTCATGCCCCGTCCACACTACGCCGGAGAAATTTGAAAAGGGTGTTAATCACTCTGAAAACATATCAAATGTTCTCCGTCCACACTTTGTTGGAGAAATTTGAAAATGTAACAATCACCAGTCATTTTGGATTTGTGTTTGAGGAAATCATGACATCATTTTTGAAAAGCTCCATTTTGAAAATGTTTTCCGTCCACATTAAAACACAAAGTCAGCATTTTCAAATTCCCCGGGTTTGAACAGTGTTTTTGTTTGAAGAGCGCCCGTTTTCATGGCGATTTATTGTGAACAGAAGACCTAACTGTAGAAATAAAGCTGCGTTTTCAAATTTCTCTGGCATAGTGTGGATGAGGCCTCAGTATAGTTGTTTATTAAGTATTACAAATCAAAGCTGAAGATCAAAATTGCTAAAATTACGCACTGGTCGATAAACATGCACTGAGCATCAGATAACATTGAAATCTCTGGTGATATCACAAATTGTTCTAGTGGACAGACTGGTTGGTGATTTCCACTGGAATGCTAGCAGCCTCATACTAAGGGTCTTCATTCCCCTTGACCAGCGATCGGGAAACGAGCGACCCTGGAGAGATAATATCAGACTTCCAGATGAATTGTGCCTAGCTCAGAAACAGGCTGCACATTGCCTCCACTTCTTAACATCCATTTTGAGTTTGTTGTGGTGGATCCATTACATTTATTTTTAAGAATAATGGGGCTGTTATTCAATCAGGTGAGCCTAAAAGTATTATATAAAGAAAAGCCATTTTCTTATGCAAACCCTTTTGAAATTTTGGCACTCAGTGGAGACAAAGGTGACAATGACAGCAAATTCAAAGTACAGTGAACTCTTTCTAAGACACCAATTGTCCGTCTTAGAAAGGTGTCCGGGCTATAGAGAAAAGAGGTAACGGAAACACAAGTAATACTGAGATAACACATTGTATAATGGCCAAACTAGTGCACAATTAAAACATGAATGTTCTAAGTGTACTTAAAATGATTAATCAACTCATTTGTTCATTAAAATCAATAGTTGACTGCTTCAGAAAAATGGAAAGTACTTGTACTGTCATATTCATTAGTACAATCACGTTACATTGTTACAATGTAAACTGAAAACATCAGTTTCATATATACTTGACATGGGAATATATGAACTCAATTAATTGACCTCGCTCACAATGTGTGGCTTCATAGCTCAGTTGGTAGAGCATCGCACCGGTATCGCAGAGGCCACGGGTTCGAATCCCATTGAAGTCCTGATTTTTTCAGGCTTCTTCTTTCCAATTGCTTAAATTGGAAAATTTACTG